GTTAGGGGAGGGGTAGGTGGGCAGTTGCCCAGATACTGATATTGATCCCAATATTCTATACTTCCTCCCTTTACACTCTTCGACCTTCTCCCGATAAATTTCATGTATGAAGATAAATTCTACCATCTTAGAATTATTTACAAAATATTGGGGACTAAAAGGCACTAATCATGTAACATACAGTCAATAAATGTTGACCTCGATATTTTAAAACAAAAATCGACCTCAGACTTGAATGAATCCCCCAGAAAAAGAAACAACTTGCCATCTTATTAACAACAGTAATAAAACCTCGCTGTTACCTGTCTCTGAAACTCGTCTGCAAACTTAAAACAGTCAGTTATTCTTATAAAATCCACCACATCTTGAACGCTCCATTGAGATACGTGTTTTGATGAACGCGAACCCGAAATACTCGATGATCCCGAGGGTTCGGGTCTGGGGGGGGGGCTCTGGAGGGAGATTCTTTACAAAAGGTGCAGCTTTCGGAATATTCTTCGCTTTAGGGAGGGCAATCTTTAGAACGGGAAGGGACTTTGCGGGTTGACCCGCAGGATTACCCGCGGGATAACCCACCAGGTGGCTATCTACTTTAGGGACAGCTTTCCTTATTGGGGATGGTGTTTCGTTCAAGGGTGACGTCGCTGGACTTGGTGTTGTCGGCGATTCGTAATTTTTGCGGAGAGATGAAGCGGGTGGTGAAAGAGGAACTGAAACAGAACAAAAATTTAAATATGTTTAAAAACTCAAGTGAAAAGATAGTCAAAATTTGGGGTCAGACAAAACTTTCTGGTATCTGATATGATTAAGATACTAGGAAAAATGATATCAACAGACAAAACTTTTCTGGTATCTGATATGATTAAGATACGGGAAAAATGATATTAACCCGAAAGGTGGTGTGGTCGAGTGATGAGGGCACTGAACTCGTAATCCCGAAGTCCCGAGTTCGAGTCTCGCTACGACAAAAAGCGAACCTATTCCTCAGCAGTTCCCTTAGTGGTCCCGTGTTCAATTTTCCCCGACCACGCTTGTACACAACTAAATGACTTGACTTCTTCCTACCTGGGCTTTAAACCAAGTTGACTTTGATTTGGAGTACAAGTAGCAGTTGTCTAAGAACACTTTTCTTAACCTTTACTTAACCCACCCTAATGTTACCTTCTACAAAAAATTGACGATCAATTCCGACTTTTGGACAGGGTATTAGAACACAATTTTACCCGGAGGATGATGTTAAAGCTTCGAATTATCGATGTATAATTCTAACCTTTCTGAGCATCACAGTGCGCACACAGTGCGTCTTTATTTAAGCTGGTGAGATTCTCGCACAAAGAAAGTTTGTTTTTTAACGTCTGCAATAGAAAATAACAAACATCAAGCTCGTAAAGATAAAGGCAGAAAACCGATATGATTCTGTAATTGACTGAGTCCACCTGTCACACAGCGGCGTTGCTTAGCACAAGGTGTCTGATGTCACAAACCACTGGATACCCACGTTGAAAGTAGAGCAAACATGACAAGGACTGTGAAAATAATCTAAGGAATATTTCAGAAAATAAACCATGGTGACTGTCAACTAAGACGACTGCCTTCAGCTTCTTTATCTATGCTCTGCGTTTACTATTGAATCTCCTAGACTGAATTTAAACAAATATGGATTTAAGTCGTGGGCGAGCTAGCTGGCGAGCACTTTCATCCCTTCGCCATCCATGCTCTCGAACCTACCAAAGTTCAAAAACCCTACAGAAAAGAACACAGTACCTTCAAAATTGAAGAAATAGTCATTTTATCAGTCTCAGAAGCAAGCAGCTTCAGAACTTGTTTCGACGAATGAGCGCTGAGAACAATTTGCTCAACAAGTTGTCTTAAGACAATATTGGGACCCGCTGGACCAATGACAGCAGGAAGACTTGCTACTTTAGCTTGCTTAAGAAACGGGCCCGGTTCACAGGATTTCTTGACATAAATACAGATCCCTGTAAAGGAAAAAAAAAAGCAAATTTTTTAAGAAAGATCAACATAGAGTCTACCATGTAGAAAGATTTTCTTCTCGTCTTGCAACAAGCGTGAAATTAAGAAAAAATTCTAACTCTTTATAACGAATGGAGACTCAGATCTTCGAAATCTGCACTCCGATTTTCTTCCACTGAACCACAAAAAGTCTCTATGGCGACTGAGATACGTGACACGCGTTTAATACACTCCTAAGATCAGCATTTTCGAAAGCGTCGTGTGAAGAAATAGAATAGGACGATAATAAAACACAGAAAGATGTTTTTCATCTTTTCGTGAGCAAGGGGAAGTACGATTTCAAGTCTCCTTCGTAGCCGTTATTTGGTCCCTTCACGCAAGGAGGACAGAAGGTGGTGTGTGCCGTGACAGAACAGCGGCTACCTAGGAGGTAGTCAGTCA